CTTCGCGCCGCTCGCGGAGGCCGCGCTGCGCGCCGGGCGGCGGCGAGGCCGGAAGATGGCCTGGGTGCTCAAGATGGACGAGGTGATCGAGTCCGGACTGGTGCACGACTTCGATGCCACCCTCTCGGGCATCGGGCAGGAGCTGGGCGCCGGCGCCTACAGCATGAGGTACCAGGCGCCCGGGGCCGGGCGGGCGGAAGCCTCAGTCTCCTTGGGAAAGGCCTGCGCGACCCTGGGCCTCTGCCAGGCGGCATGGAGCCCTGCAGGCCTCTGCCCACCCCGGTGGCGGGCATGGGAGGGGGCCCCGTCAGCTTCGGCCGGGGATCAGCTCCTGAGGGCTTCATTTTTGCTGTAAAACACGCCGCGCTGTTAGGATGGCTTGGGTCGGCGGGGCAAGGAGCTTTTTTTTCTTGCAAGTGATTTACAGGCCACTGAGAGCTGGAATACACTGTCCGAAATGGGAGGACTTATACTGGGAAAATATTCTCCGGGGTTTTGGTATCAGTTTCCTACTCTGTTGTCCTACATTGTGGTCTTTCCTGGTTGCAAATTTTAATCACTTAGTGTTACAGTAGTAATTATGTCCTAAGTGAAAGTAGCCACAGGGGAGAAAAGCACGTTGATTTAGTTATGTTTTTTGATTGTTTCAAAGTGGAATTTTTCCTTTTGGGGACTACCCTCTCAGGCTGTTTCCTGTTGAAGAAGGCTTTAAGATGCAGTGATTGCACCACAAACAATAGTTTGTTTAGTCTCTGCTGTCTGTACTAGCAGCCATTCATTTTGTTTAATTTTGAGAGGTTGAGAGAGATCTGAGCTTAGTCTCTGGCGTTTATCCTGAAGAATACTGTTTTTTAACTCCTATCAGTTTGGCAGCTCTTTTTTCTTTTTTAGCAACTTTATTGAAATATAGTTTACATGCTTTAAGTTCACCCTTTGATTAAAGTGTAAAATTCAAAGGTTTGGCAGCTTTTCGTTAATGCAAATTAAGTGGGATTTTCCAAATATATTCTTTAATGCGTTGTGTCTTTGAAGTGCTGTCCAGTTTCCCAGGAGCTTTGGTACATCTCCCTGCAGCCCTGGGGAACGACAGGGAGTATAAATGTCCTGAAGCAGACAGACTTCTGGGTCAGAGCAGGCCTGGAATGGTGAGGGCTGCTCCCTGAAGTAATTCGGCTTTTAAATCTTAAAGGGAAACTCTGGGCTGTAAAGAACTCTCGGAAAGGTGGAGATGTTTCTTAGGGTGTGGAAGTGCGTGGAGGAAAAGCCTTTGGTTGGTCACCAGTCTCTGACCCTGAGTCAGAGTGTGCTGGTCCCCCTGAACTTGGCGCTGCTTTTCTCTGCAGTTGTGCAACTTGAGGGCTCTGAATGAGGTGGCTTATTTTCTAGAACAACTGTCTCAGTTGTGGAGGAAATTAAGCTACTGCAAGTCATCGGGTCACCCCAGATGGGAGTACTAGAGGCAGTGATTACCTAATGAAAACACTGGGCCTCGAGTGCCATGCTGCTGCTTGAGACCCTGGATTTGCAGTTAAGGTATAAGAGGGCACGTGAAGCAAATTCATTCTCTCTCTTTTCAGTTGCTTCTCAATTATGCTAAAATGAAAAGTTGGCTGCTGAGAACTCTGCTTATTGAGGGTTATTTTGAGCTTTTACATTTTTCCAAAGTCTTATTTATTTCAGTGATTCAGCCAACTAATTAACTTTTGTTCATGGTTTCTTCTGTGAAAAGGAAATAAAATCTTGCTATTAAACCTTTCCCTGACCTTGTTCTTAAAGTAATGCCTGACATCCTTGTAATTCGCTGCCTTTTACGACACTTTCCATGGGGAAACTTTTTCCATTGAATGTTTTTGGTTATATGTTGTGTCATTTAATCTAAGTGTTCAAGTATATTTGAAGGCAGATACCATTTTTAAGGAGCTTGTTTAGTTTTTTCATATTTACTTGGGTCCTCAAAACTAAGAAGAGCTAATGAGAGTACTTGCCTCTTGCAAATTCAAGGCCCTTTAGTGGAAATTCAAACTTAGGAAATTTCAAAATTGACTTGATAAGAGGAAAGTCTAAAGAAGGCTCAGGCTGGTGTAGGCCCCCTTCAGTTGCACTTGCGCTTCACATGCCTGGACCTGGAGCTCAGAGGGCTGGATCTCGGGAGTGCCCAGCGTCTTTTCTCTGCATGGGCAGTCAGGGAAGTAAGGCTATGGATTGTCTTTCTCTTTCATTTGTCCTCTCTTAAGTTCAAGAAGTAAACTTGAAGTGCTAAATTTGAAATTATTAGAGAAGTGACTTCTTGATAAAAACTTACTTTGTAGGCAGCTTTCCAGTTTTCTTTCAAAGTGAAGTATGCTTACTGTATTTGCTTTTTGGATAGCTTAAAATGAAGTATTTTTAAAGACTTCTTTTAGGAAATGGTTTCCTCAGTATTTTGGGAAGATAGCTTGAAAGAAAGAGATGGTTTCTGTCAATAGTCTGACTTAATGTTAAAAAAATGCAGGCTTTTAGTATTGGGATGTGTTGAGGCTAATTTCTGCTATTATCTTTATTTCTTTTTTTTCTTTGCTGTGGTTCTCATTTTGTCTGTGTGTTCTGTGTTACTGTTGTACCACATTTGTATGTGAGGTATGAGCTGCTGCAGATTCTATTTGAAATGAAGCAGGTCATAAAATGTTTTTTAAAATCTTAGTTACAATATCAGGATTCTAGAAATGGATGAAGAGACCTTAAGAAACTAACAGACCAATCCTTTTCTTATAAGTGAGTAAACCAAAGCTCATAAATGTTCAAGTGATTGGCCCAAGCGGCCTGTCAGTGGTACTATTCCAAATGAAGGCTGAGTTCCCCCCCACTGAATGAAGGCCGAAACCCATTGTAACTTGAAATCTGGGTCATTCATCTTTTGTGAAGTAAAGAACAGATAATCAAATGACTTTAAAAAATAAAACTCATTAAAACTCTCCTAAGAGGGTCTTTTGGGCCACCTGGTAATTTTCTTTCCATCTTACTGTTCACATGTTATAATCTGTAGTAAATTAATCTTCAGGATTTAAGGAGTAACGCAACGTCTTTAGATTACGCATAAAAACTTTGATATTAAATTGTTACCTTACAAAGCGCATTGATCTGAGTCCTGTTAAACTTCACTATGGCATAAATCTGTTTTGAAACAAAAGGTGTACTTTACATATTCTGAAGTGGGAGGTACATCCATAGTTTACATATAATTTGCTAAATCAAAATTGCTTTGAGGTGAGGACAAATTTCCTGTATTGACTGAAAGGTTAAAATGTCAATTTACAGATCCCGTGAGGTAATGGGAAAATTCCAACTATGATTGGTGTTAAGTTAGTAAAAGATTACTAAAGATATAGATTATTATGTAGCTATTAATAGGTGGTAGTTTTCTTTTGTTCCCATGCTAAAACAGAATGTCCCTGAGTAGCTGACATGTCTTGGAAGTATAGAAAAATTTTAGGACCAGTGAAATTTTAAAAATTTATTATGGTGGTGGCTGAGACTACTTCTGGAATTGGCAATGATTTCTACAAAACATCTTATTTCAAAGTTTAAAAACTTTTCTGGATTTAATCTTGGCTGAAGTATAGAAAAAAATTTAATAAGTTGTTGATTAAAAAACATTGATTTCAGATTATAGTGTCCACATTGGTTTTTAAAGGTATCACCTTAAAGCAGGGATTGGCAAACCTTTTCTGTAAAAGACCAGGTAGCAAATATTTAAGGCTGCAAGCCGAGGGTCTCGGTCAGATTTTTTTTTTTTTAGGATCCTTTAGAAAATGTAAAAACCATTCTTGGATCATGTTGTACAAAAACAGGCCGCTGGATTTGGCCCTTGGGCTGTAGCTTGCTGATCCCTGCTCTGAAGGATAGATTCTAATAATATACTTTGATCACCTTGGAAAAAGATTTGCTGAGTGTTGAAATCTTATATTCAAGAAGTAATTTTTATGTAGACTAAGAACTCTCTCAGCTAATTCACCTTCTATTGCTTGTCCACAGATTTTTATTGTGTTCAGTTTTTAAAATTAGGGTGTCAACTGCCCGCACTAAAAGTAAGATTCAGTACAGTTCATATCCTTCCATCAGGGCTGTTTGAAACATGGTAGTTTAGTGATAGGGTCTCATAAACTTGCTTTGTTTCATTATAGTGACAATTGTCGGTTTGCCAGGACACAAACATTTGCTGTTGGTGGAAATACCGTCTGAGGCCTCATCTTTTTTTTGCTCTAGGTTCTGTGACTGAATTTAAAAGAAGCGCTGTAAAGCTTATTTTGCTTGCTTTGGAACATATCTAAGAGATGGATATGAAACTGTTCTGCATTGAACCTTGGTGGTAGTCCTTTTTTTTAAACTTTCTGAGTTTTTTGGAGATTGTTAAATTGTTGTCTGGATATAACTATGACAAAACTAGTTTTTATTTATGTATTGGTAGTTGAATTTTTAACTTAAAAAAAACTTTTCATTTTTAAGTAATTTTAGGTTTACAAGTTATGAAGATAATATAGAGAGGTGACATATTCCCTTTACCCAGCTTCTTCTACTTCCATAACCAGAGTACAATTTTCAAAACTGCCTTGGTGCAGAACTGTTATCTAAAGTACAAAATTTATTTGGATTTCACAGGTTTTCCTCTATTGTCCTTTTTCTAATCTAGGTTCCAATCTAGGATCCCATATTGCATTTAGATTTTGTCTCCTTCAAAGACAATTCTTTAGTCTTTCCTTCTCTTTTATGACTTGGACACTTTTAAAATGTAGTGATCAAAACTGTTGTTTTTAAACATGTAAAATTTTTTTGGAAGCAAAGATATAATATACCTGTGAATACTGTTTAGCTTTTAAAGGATCTCTATCACTTTAGCAGAATGATTTTGAGTAGAGTAGGATTGCTGTTGGTGTCATTCATGTATGGATTACTTTGTCTCAGTCTGTCTGAGTAGAATGGTATACTGTGTACTTTGTAGTCCCTTCATAATCAAGGAATTAAAAAACTTATTAATTAACAATTATAAACCATTATATATTACCATAAATGTTTTCTATTAAAAAACTATTTTCCAAAGCAAAACACTTAGTGAGAAGAGTGGCATTGTCTTATGCTTTTTGCAAATCTCTTTAGTGTCTGGCTTAGAAAAACAGGTGTATTCTCTTATCTGC